GCTTATGTAAGTAGCGAGATTTTCATAGATTTTTAGTAGAGAGTGAGACATGTTATACATGTTGGTGGCTTTGGGCCATAATGCACTCATTGCCAAAGAAAAAAAAGCAACACCAAGAATATGTTGAGCAATATAGATTAAATTTGCTAAACAAACATGCACAGAGTATCATGAAATCAGGTAGTTTCAAGGGCATAGGATGAATATTCACAGAGAAAACTTGCCAAGCACTCCTACAGTGAAAGAGTGGGAGGAGGGGAGGGGAGTCGTTTTAATTGCCAAAGAATAACTCTTAAGAATTTAAGGGGAGACTATAAACAAAAAATACAATTTGTTATGCTTTGCAGAAAGTAAAAATCATTGGTAACATTGAAAAGCTTTTATTCCAAAGATCTTTTTGCAACATAATTTTTACATGAAACTCCTGCAGTTTCTGAGATATTCTTAAAAAACTAAAATATTACTACATCTGGCATTTCCCAAGCCACAGCTAAAAAAAAATCATCCAAATTTCTTCAAATTCATGGGATTCCATGATAAAACATACAACTACAGATTGTTGGGAGCAAGAAAGTGAATTTTTCTATTTTTCCATGCAAAAATGAACTATTTCTGTCATGTTATTAAAAAATTTGATGGCAATTGCCTCTTAGCTCCCTAATTCAGTCATAAAAAATACAAATCATCAAACCTGGTCCCAACATATTCCAGGCTTGTCATTTCTGAGTGCCCATGCAAAATATCAGGTTTATAGCACCAATATTACAATATTCATCATTTGAGAAATAGTCATTGTATGCAATACATATGTGTATATGTGAATTGCGATTTTTTGCTCATAGTCTCCCCTTAATGCCAATGTGGAACTAAAACTCTCAAAGATGTGAAGGAAAATTCAACAAAGCTTCAAGATCACAGAATGAAGAGATGCAGAAAACAATTTCTGAACATCTAGGGAATGGGAGAAGGTGGCATCACTGATAATGCCAGTCTTCTTCCCTCAAACCACTTTGCTATCACAAGATTATGTTGAGATGAAGTTTCTTAACACAATTTCCTCAATTCCTTAGGAGTTTGTGAGTTTTCTCTGCATTGCCTCATCCTTTGACCTTGTAACTTCACTATTTTCCCTTCATCATTAAGAGTACCTATTCCACAACTCATTGCCCCTTGGATTTCTGAGGGTCAATAAACTCATTCTGGGTGTTTTGCAAGTTTTCCCCATGAGAATCCATCATACACCCACAAAGCTCTGATTTCATGGCACACTGCTACAAGCTTAAGCCCCAAATTTCATCAAGAATGCTCAACTTCTTCTTTTTGGTGAAGAGTGTAGTGACTACACTTGAATTGCATTTGTTAGGGCTGCCTGGGAGTTGGAGCAGCTTCCTTTAATTACTTCCTCCTGATATCTCAAATCACATCAATAGCAGGGGTTGCACTAAGTTTCTTGCCCTGGCTTCCTGCTCATGTATCCCTGGGGTCCCAGGATGCACAGGCAGAAGGCAGCTGGATTGAACATCATACTGCTTGGTTATGTTAAGTCGGCAAATAAACATGGATTGCTGGACTTTTGACTTTTGGGGAACCCTTTAAGATTCCCTCGTGCTTCACTAGGAAAGTAACTCCTTTAATTATAAAGGGACCCTTCCATATCAGACCTGAGGGTCCCAGGGGCAGAAACCTAGCACAACCCCTGTATAGGACTTTGAAACCTTCAATATCAAAGAATGTGTCAATCCTCTGGCATAAGTTCAACCTTCCCTGAGATATGCAAAGATGGAACATTTTTAATGCTTCCCGTGCTTCCCATGCACTCTCTCACTCAGGCTGAAAAGAGTGGAGTGCAATCGAACTTCTGGCTGACTCCTGCAGGGGTAAAAAACTACAAGCTTCCACTATAGCTTATTAACTAGAATGAGGTTGCCTGTTTTTCATTCATATAAATACTCTTTCTGCTTCACACTCAGGTTTTTGCAGTTATGCTGAAGAAATCTTAAGCTTAATTTGTGATTGTTATGCAAAATTTTCTCAAAAGAACTATCCTATTCCAGAAAACAATGAGAAGCAGCTTCTTTGATCTACTAAATAAAGATACAAGGGAGGGAGAGGGAAGATTAAGCAAATGAGGGGCAAGTAATTGTTTGCTAAACTGCACCCACAGAGGTAGGCTTTCTTCTGATGGAAATGGGTTGGTATATTTTGTGAACATTTTGGCTTTGCAAAATCATAATTATTCAAGTCACACATGATTATTAGGGGGGAAAAAAGACACATTGCTCAAGAGGAAGGGTATAAGCTTTAAGTAGTCCATGATGACTTATTGTGGGAGTGATTAATTTGTTCACCATAACCACTTGACTGGCTAATTATGGTTCTTCACAACAAAAACTACATTCATAAACATAGAACCTCCTATACTTGATGACTAGATGTGAACTGCTTCCCAATGACAAGATAGCTAGAAGTTTTTTATTATCTGATGCAATAGGAACCTTCAATACCTGGCCAGCTTTTCAACTTTTTTTACTGCATAAATCTGTACCATGGTTGAGATAAGACACAATTTCACTTCAACCTCAGATTACTATCCAATAATCACAGATATTGCTGCTTGACTTCATGAGCATAAAATGCATGTGCAAATTTATCTCATCCCTAGTTGTGAGAATATTTTTGCTGAGTCAATACCACCCAGTTAACTTTTGTGTTGGTTCTTCACCTCATCTCTTTCTAAATATCAGCATGAAACTTCAGCTGCCTTCATAAAATCTAGTACTGTAGATAATTCTCTTTCTCTAGATGTAGCAAATTATTTATTTTAATGTGCTACTCCTATACATTTAAGTTGTTCCATCAGCCTTGCATCAAAAGTAGGCTTCATTGCAGGGTTTCCTAACAATGGCATGGATCATTAGGTCATAGGTACTGAAGCTGTAGCCCTGGTTCCAACTACAGTGGGCACATTCAGTTGTGACCAGAGTCATGACTCGAGGGTCTCAGTTCAACACTTTCATTGAGAGTTCAAAATAAATTTTACTCCAGAGTGACACCTCTCATCAATGTCATTAATCCTGGGTATAATAGTTTTTGAAAAGCACTGCACCTGCCGAGAATCACGAACCTCGAGTCATGACCTGGGTCACAACTGAATGCACCCAGTAATACCCCGCTTAGTGGTCAGAATGCATTCCTGGAAAAGAAAGCACTAATTGAAGCAGCACTAAAAGCAGCACACAATGGCACATTATGCCATTGTATATATGGAGATGCGAATTGAGTGGTGAATATTCTGATTCATAACTTTTTACTTGTATTTTGGATTTTTTTTACTTATTTTGGTTTTCGGCAGTGTAAGAAAAACATATATTTTTCCCACGAACCTGAGGCAACAAATTGGAATTTCCTGAGAAGGACATGCAAGCGGACTAAGTGGGCCGGCCACCTGCCCGCACATCTCCAATCCTGTGAACCTCATTTGCAGGTTCACAAGGGTTTTCCTAGCCTGGTTTTCAGTAAAAATTAACTGAACCCAACATTTTGGTTCAAGTTGTTCAATTAATGCAAATCTAATCAAACATCAGAAAATGAAGATGAGGTCAATCAATGCCATTTAATGAGTTTTGTTGACATGATGATTTTGAACCAAAATTTTTAATACAGTCATCAGATCAATCAGAAGATGGATACATTTCATCACATTCCACAAGACTTAAAGTAACTTCTAGCACCTTGCACAGAGGCACTTGCACTTTCATATGAGTCAACTGATTTTTCTGTTTCAGTCATTTTTTTCCAGTTCTGACTTCATTGAATAGAAAATAAACAAGTAGAAATGTGACATACTTGGGTGGTAATTCATAATTTGCAATCACACTTACACTCACCTTTAGAGATGAGGTAACCATTTTCTGAGGCATTCATAGTTAATTTTCAATAATTTTTTTTACTTCTTCTGAATCTTTACAACTAGAACCTGATGGGATTCAGGGAAAAAATATTAACATGTGTTTGATGTTTATATCTTGAGATGCAAGTAAAGTTCCATTGCTACTTTGCTCCATGTATTCAATAAGAATGAGTGGAAATACATATTTATGAATGCATTCAAATGTGAGAATCAATCCTTCATATGAAGAGCAACTTTAATTTAAATGGAGACAAAGAATTCTCACCATAACTTCTCAAAAATGGAAGAGCCTGGCTGCCAGTTTCAATCATTTTCTATTCTACTCTAGTAGTTCTTCAACAAGGAAAAGTATTCTGAAGACTATGCAGTGTTCCTCTTTCAGGCCCATTGTATCCCTGATCATCATAAGACCAAACAAGGTTGCATGACAAAGATGAACTGCAGATAGAAACACACTTGACTCAGCCCTCCACTAAGTGAAGAATAAACCTCTTGCCCTCATAGATTTCCTCAGAATTTATGACTTCATTATTACATAATGATCCTTGAGTGTGGCCATTGCCCCCCTTTAAGTGTAACTACACCAAGATGATGCAAGCTTCATATACTTTGTATTTTTTGTATATTTGCACTTACAACAACAAATATTCTTTAGGGGTTACAATAACCAGGCCCTATGGTTTCCTATGCCTCCCATAGCTTCAACAAAATGTTTAACTGATGGTCAGATATGTTCTGAACAAAAAAAATACCATCTCTACTTCCCCAAACCAGATAGCATGCACAAAGAGTATGATGGTGAGAAGAAGAGCTTACAGAATTGGTACACAATCTATCCCTTCTCAGACCTTCAAAGACCTCTGACTTACAAGGACATGACAAAGATCTTTGTGGTTCACACACTATGATATAGGAAGCTCTTACACTATGCTCTTCCACAAACTGAAAGCAACTGAGGCTTATGGAGGCAAGATTGCACTCCAAATGACGAGTTCACAGCATGGGCCTCTCTTCCACTTACTGCATAGCTTGCCACAATCAAACCCTGATTCTAGCAACATTCTGGTAATGAAGATAATCAAATATCACTTCATCCATTACTCTTACTATGCTCAATGTCAAGCCCAGAAGCTCTGGCAGAGAAGAGGACTGTACCTTTCAGATAAACATGCAGAGCATGCAACTTTGCAAAAGCGTGAAAAGATGGATGGCATTCAAACCACTCACCTGTAGCTGCAGCTGCTTCAGTTCCCTCTTCATTCACTTCTATGAATGCCTTATGGAATGCATCACTCACATATAGATCCCTTTTGCCATCCATCCCAGAGAAATCTGCATTATCTGAGAACATCTTCACCATACCCATCTGTCGTAAAAGGGGCATGAAAACTATAATTGTGTTCACATCCATCATGTATAATGCTATAATCCATAATTCCAAAGATATAACAGGCATCCTTGTCTTAACACTGTCATCTGCATTTTGTGTTTCTAATAAAAATCATGTAATACTAGGTATACATCCAGTAAGCCTCAGTTATTTTTGCATTTCATAGCACGAAATTTCATTTTTCTATCAAAAAACGAATGAGAAAAACTGAAGATGCCAAAAGGAAGAACTAGGTCTTCTCCTTTTTGTATTCCTTCAATATATCAAAAACTCTCAACATGCCATATGAACTTTGCCTTGACTTTCAAAATCCACAAAGAAAATCCTGTCAACAATCAAGAGGTTCATGTCTCCAATATCTCCACCAACTACAGAGAAACTTATGCTAGCAACAGACACCATCCAAGGCAAGGAAGAACTGATATATAAGAAGATATATCTACCCATTAAGCTGCTTCAGTGATACAGACTGAAATAGAAGTAACACTTTATCAGTATTAATATTATTGTAGTAATTATGTCATTATGTGGGCCTACCTCTTGCAGGATTTGTTTAAGGGGAATGTCCCCTTCAATCTTGAAACGTGGCAAATGGAGGTCGACTTTCATACCCTTCCTTGCTTCTCTGCTCCACTTAGCTACTGTATCCCCAGTGAGTTTCTCTTCAAGATCCTTCAACCCATCTATTTCATCTGGGAGCACAAACAACATCTCCAATTCATCACCCTAGGAAAAGAAAACACCAAACTTACAAAACACAAAATTTTTTAAGTGGTGATTATGCAAAAGAGGAAATAGAAATTCAATCCCCCACTGAACACTGGCAACACTCACAATATACGGAAGTTTGATGTAAGTACATTTGAGAGCCTTGTCTCTACCAAAGGGGAAACTCTTGGAGATGTACATCATGGGAACCTTTACTGTTTCACTCTTGGTCACATGGAAATCATGGTCTCTGGTATTGTTTGCATTGAACTGTTCTGCCCACTTCCCCTTGAAGTACACAGCATTCACCAGCACCAACCTTGTCATGTCATTCAGGACCCCTAAAGAAATATAGATCATAAAAGGCCACAGACTACAACAAAAGATAATTAATTAATGTGGCTGGAAAATACAAGACATAAAAATTGTAGAACTGCATATATATGAATAAGAAACCTGATGGGATGAGGTCTTTGATCCTGCTGTTTGTTGTCTCCTCCACAAAAGAATTGATGATCCCTCTACCAGCCTCATTCATGCTAATCTCCTGAATGCCACTCTTGTAGGATTCCTTGAGAAGATTCTTATATGTGTCCAGGATCTTAAAGTCTTGCTTCACATACAGCATATTTGCCATCTTCATGATGACAGCTTCATCTGCATTCTGCAATGATGTCCATCATATTTTGCACAAAGGCATACAACACTGGCATGATATATCCACTGGTGACAATCATAAACTGGTACCTATAGCAAACACAGAATACCTTCGAAAATGACAATTTAAACATTTTAAAATTATTGATTCATTTTCTCAGTAATTTCATCATGAGCGTCTCAAGAATTTCACATTCCAGCCTCAAGAACTCCTGATCCTAATCACCACTTTGAAGATCCTGCTTCTTGGATAAAAGACCTACAGAATAAAAATTAGTAATACCAGATGGGCATGAAACAGTAGCATATTTTTCTCTTTCTAAGGTTTTCTGGACACATCAAATCTTAAATAAACTAATTGTAGCCTACGTTGTTAAAGTTCAAGAAGGTGCAAAGCCTTCCCATAGCAATCCACCTGTTAACAGAAAATCCAAAGTAAGTAGTTAAAGTTCCAGGGAGTTTTAAACTCCCTCTGGAACATTCCTTCTATATAGCTACAACAATTTCAAATGTGCTCATCCATATTACCACTTTCTATATCTCTGTCAACAAAAGCTGGAATTCCATGACAATACCTGGTACCCTGATGAAGCTTGCAATATGGGCTACATTTAGCTCATCCCAGATTTGATCCTTGAACAATTGAAATGAAATAAAAACAGGAAACCTGACAGTGACTAAAGTCCTACCCTCCACTAGGATTTCTGACTAGTCACTATAAATACTGCAGATTAGAAAACTTAAAAAAAATGCACTCAACCTAACTTGTGCAATGAAATTCTGCTCACTTTCAAAGTAGTCATGAGGTCTTTGAAGAAAGAATGAGGATCTTTGGTCAATTTCATCACAGCCTTCATTTCCTCAGCAGTGTCAGACTGAGCTCCCCCATGCACCATCCCAAGGGCAATACTGATGCTCAAAGGAGAGAACACAAAGTTCTGGGCCTTGTGCTTTCTTGCAGCCTGGAATGAGAAAGACATGATTTTATTGAATACATGTGGCAAAAACTATGTTTTTAACAAAACACACACAAATGACAACCAACACTAAAGGATTTACTATTCCTTCATGGCCTTCAATCATTACTGATCGCTCTCATGTTCAGTAGAATTAGAATAAGTACTTCCCATTTGCAGATTCAGACTGCATCAGCATTCCAAGTACATGAACTAATTCACTGACTTCAGTATTATTCTCAGCCTCACATAAATGAGGTCCAGATAGTATAAATTCATATAAGCTTAAACTGCAAAACAAGTTTCTGAACCAATGCCTCCTGTCTATGGGTGTAAAAATTGAACCTCACCTAGAACTACCTGTATATTACTGATTCTGAGTTTTCTCCAGAGACCAAATCAATACATACAGAACTTTCCTTCGGACTTGCATTAGTACTATGCCACTGACATGGTCAGACAGAAAAAATAAAACAACTTCCCAGAACCACACCGGTAGCCAAATACTAGCAAATACTAGTATATAGCAACAAAATGTTTGTTGAGATATTGAATACTTTAGCTAGAAACCTCTTGGTCCATATGGGAAAAACTCAGAAAAAAAAAATGTTTTCTGGGACCATGCGTCCTGATGGCAGGATGCATTTTTTGACAAAAAAAATGCGCGTGGTCCCACGTTCAGTAATTACGAAATGATAATCTTCTGGAACGTTCTCAACAGTTCCAGAGGGTATTCGTTGAAAAAAAATCTGCATCCTGGCATCAGGACGCATTGTCACCAACGTGTTAAAGAAGCACTCAAAGTGGTGGGGCATTTTACAGAGGGGCAGCCGCCTCCCCTGGCACCCCTGGGACAGAGCTTGGTGCCTCCTTGGAGGTAAAAATTTTCTCCCCTGATATTGCTCAGGTGGGGTTTGGTGTCCCCACTCTGTTCCCCCCCCCCCCCGACCCTTCAGTCAAAATACACCACTGACTCTAAGCATTAAAAAACTCGCTATGGTCACGCCTTCGGCACTCCATTACCTTGGATAGTGATTAATTCATTTATTCTTTGTGAAATGGCAAGCACGTATTTAAAGTACGTCCCCATTGAAATACGTGACATATGGGGACAAAAGCCTTCATTTTTATCAAAATCATTACTTCAATTATTTCTAGTGTGCATAAGTTGAAATCTTTTCATGTGTCCCTTTTTGTAAGGGTGGAGAACACATTTTGAAATACTTCCCTCCTATAATCTACACTAATGGGACATATTTCAAAAGAAGGATTTTTCCTGTACTCAGCCATCAAATAGGTACTTCTGAGGGAAGTTTAAATTTTCTGTTTCTGTTTCCTTGGAAAAAAAAAAATTCAGGAAAATGGGACTTAAAAAAAGTGCCCTGATGGGTTTGAACGAAAAATTTTTTAATTTTTTTCTTTTGAAATGTAGACTCAGGGAACTCTATGCCACCCAGTTTCAGCCTCATACATTTCCCCTTTTTACTGGTGGTAAAAAATGTATTTGGAAAAGTGACCCACCCAAAAGCTGTGCACAACAAAAGTAGAATTTTTCATTAAATTAACATCACGTCCGTTATGCTTGCACCAGGTGCTACTTTTCTATTTCTGCCCAATTCGCTAGGATATGAAAAATTCTTTGAAAATGTAACGTGCCCAAGAAATATCGCCCCCAAAATTCCAATATTTTGGAAATTTGACATTTTTCCTGAGCTCAGCGCTTCAGCAGTCACGTTCTTGCCAAGTTTCAGTTTTCCATGTGTCTCCATTTGATTGAAGCAAAGAGAACTATTTGAAAATATGTTCCCTGAAAAGATGTGCCCCTATGGCATGTATCACCAAAGTAGCATTTTTCCTCAACTCAGCATGTGACTTATCTCATTCAGCTACTCACAATTGTTTATATATAATAAAAGTAGAATTTTTTATTTACTCAGCTATACATCAGGTTCTTCTTTGCCAAGTTCAAACTTTCTAGCGCCCTCTGCTTTGCTGGATCAGAAATTCGAGAAAATATGCCCTTTGCAATATATGTGCCTTGAGGCGTTTTAACCAAAAAGTACTTTTTTTTATTATACTGAAATCCATCCTCAGTGAACTACATGCCCACAAAGTTTCAATATTATACGTTCACCCTTTTTGTTGGTAAAAAAACATGTTTGGAAAAGCTGACACACCCAAAAGCTATACCCGGAGTGGATGCACCATGAAAGCTGAATGCTCCCTCAACTCAATAATACGATGTCACTTATATGTGTGCCAAGTTTCACCTTTCCATTTTCATATTCCCACATTTTTCTTTAACTCCTCTCAGTAGTCACATTCATGCAAAATTTCAGCTTTCTGCATTCATCAGTTTAACTGATGCAAAAAAATTATTTGAAAGCATCTCCCTTTGAAATCCCCCGGGGCATTTACTTCCAAAGTCTGAATTTTTCTGCACGTAGCATCTCAATTGGTAGTTATGTACCAAGAGCCATCTTTCCACACCAGCTCAATATGCCAGGGCAAAAAAAAATTACTTGAAAAACGTCGGCCCCTAAAAATATGCCCCCACAGGGCATGGATCTAAAATTTTACATTTTTCCTGAACTCATCATCTTGATAGGTATGTCCATGCCAGGTTTCAGCTATCCATGTCTCTCCGTTTTACTAAAGCAAAAATGTTGATATGGAGGGGAAATGAGTAACACGACTTGGGAAGGCATAAAGGCCAAAAGAAAGCCAAGGAACGGCCGGGAATTGAACCCAGGCCTCCTGATTGCCAGTCAGGTGTGCTACCACTACACCACTGAACCTGGGACATCCAGTCAAGCCTCTCGATGCCATCCGTCACAATATATATCTTTAAAAACTTCTCCTCCCAAAATGTGTACCCCCAGGGCATGTACCTCCAAAATCTGATTTTTTCTAAACTCTGCATCCCAATAGGTACACGTATACCAAGTTTCAGATTTCTAACTTCTCTAGAACATGGTTAGAATTAGCATCAGTTAGTCACGATTGTCTATATATATTAGATACATTAAATTATTCACATTTTCGCTTTATTCCCTACTAAGAAATTAAGAATTACCACCCAAAAATCTATCATCCAAGCTGCAGCCACATTTGGGTCATCACATGTCTCAATGGAGAGCTACTGTCTCCTAATCATCCTCTGCTCCTCTAGGAAGGTTTCTCCAATAACTTCTCTTTTGGCCTAGACCTGACCAGGTAAGCAGAGGAGAGTGATTCCATGGCAATTGGTGCACTCCCTCGAGTCCTACTTAAAAAGAACCACTACACCAGTATACCAATCCATAGGTGCCATCGTCGATTCCCATGCAGTTCTATGTGCCCTATGCAACTACAAGCACCCATCAATGCCCATTGCTTTCAGGGTTTCTGACCGGGTTTCGTCCATGCTAGGAGACTTTCCATTCTTCAATTTCAAAGTGTCACCATTTTACCATGAAAACAGGCCAGAAAAGTGTCAAGCATTCAACAACATTTGATGAAATAGCAAATGGGATCAATAAAAATGAAAAGCTTCATCTGCTGGCCCCATCAAGCTCATGAATGTTCTATCAGCAAACAAAAAGATCTGAGACCAGAGTCTTCCTTGTGGACTGGGTTTAGCTGAAATGTTGTTTCTGAGGCAAACTTGGGAGGTGGGGATCAAGTCAGGGTTATGGCAGACTCTTTCTTCACTGATGTAACCCACCTGCTGCTGGAGGATATCTGTTTAGTGTTGGGGTTACAAACATCCCACATGTATGCCACATCTAGAAGATAAGGGCAAGGTACATCTAAAATATCACTTGTACCTGCCATGGGCCTAGGTAACATCTGATTTATCTCTAAGGCATCCTACAGCACTGTGATATCAGATTTGTTGCATGTGCCAAGCAAGCAGCCCCTTCCTCTTTGTCCTGTAAATGAAAAATGTCTATTGTCTCAGAGGTCTGCCTGCTCTACAACCTGTGCTTTCAATAAAAAAAAAGGCCTTATCTTCATACATAGACAACACAATTTCTATAAAAATTAAATGGCCATGAAAAAAGAAACAAAGGGTACCTTGAAAAGCTGACAAGCAAATTCCCTGGTTGCAGCAGCAATGTCATCCATGTCTGTGGTAGTTTCACTTGGTTCACAGCAGCTGTGAGTCAGCAACAAGCAAAATACTGGAACCCTGGAAGAATGAAGTCCACGTGCTAGCAAGAAATATTTTCTCCCCAGATAAACTTTCAGTGACTTCTGACTATACACAAGGAAAGCTCTTGTGTATTATAGCAAACCTGTGAGATAAGGAATGGCATCAAAAGGTTGTCATCAATACTGGTATGCTCTATCACCAAATGGCATGACACAATATTTTAAGAAACACTCTGAATGATTCACCAAGGGATGAGGTCATATAAATTCAAAACTTCAATTCAACTTGTTTTTTTCTTTCCCTGGAAAGTATCTCTCAAACAACAATAGTAAAATATATTGTCATGTACCAACCCTTCATTTGGACAAGAAAATGCCTTGAAATTTGAAGAAAGGCTGGGGGAAATAGTGAAATTTGTTCAATCGCATTTTCATTGTCTTTAAATTTTCACAAGAAAATGAAGGCGTATCCTATCCTCTCCTTTATACTGTAAACTTACCACTAAATGAGATAAAACTGTATTTTGTGTTTTTATTTGTGTTTATATCCTATTTTTCATGAAAAAAAAACCATCATTTAAAATCCTTGTCACTGTTTGCGTGCCTCGTTTAGAGACTTGACTGGTAGAGCTGGCAGGAATTCGCTTTTGCGAGCCGTAAGATGACGCCGACATCGACTGATACGGATGTAATATACCAGGATCATAACATAATATTTATCATTATATTATTATACCTAATTATAGCATTACAACAGGATTTGAAATTATTTCTACCAAACAGATATGCCGGTGAGTCGATGATGCTGCGGATAATAGAACGCTGAGAGTGTTACTCACAAGACAAAGTGAGGAAGACGGCAGGTGATCATGATTCACCAGCACCAACAGTTGCCAAATGCAGGTTCTGTAACAGTGTGCATCGTACCTGTGGTGAAACAGCCCAGCCTGGCGCTAGTGCGAGATTACACGAATGAAAAGCAGATACGTATACATACAGCTGTCGCGTTTCAAATGGGGTGTATGTTGGTCTGCGTTCAGTCCTTCCCAAGATATCAGCTCCAGAAAAATTATTCCTCCTCAACGGGATTACATACGAGAGCAACAAACCGATGCCCACGCAATGCTTTATTCGTGTCTGGAAATGTTATCGTAAGGAGCCAGGTCAAGCGAATAGGCAGGGCATGGAAAAACTCATTCCCTGGAGCGGTGAGGCTATGTGCGCGACGCAGCTGCAATGCGGACGAGCACTGTACATATGAAGCATAGTAAGTACACTGTACACTAATAGCCACCTTTGGCGGACGAAGGAAAGGCCAGAATCAATATTTATTGTACTCTTTCCTCCCTCGTGCAAACACCGTGCATCCAGCTTTAGAATACAGTGCCCTACAAATACGGAGACACTGGACAATCTCGTAACACCTCAACTTGTTCGTACCTCCCCAACTAAACACACAAAAACATTAGAAGTGTCACCACTTTTGCGGTGCCCCTATTATTTCAACGAAGAAGCAACATAAGGCGGGCACGACTTCGTTTTCTGGTGAAAGCTGGATGCACGGTGTTTGCACGAGAGAGGCAAAATGACAACCGCTTTACTATGACGTGGACCCCCCCCCCCCTTCATTGTCACGGGTTCCCGTCTCGTCAAGGTCGCATGACAATGACGCGCTCCGGCCGGGTCGGATTCAATACGACTGGCGAATCGAGCATCCATGTTCGTTCCGATCAATATCAATCCGAGAAGTCAACAATGAGTGGAAAGAACATGCATTCTGAGACGCGATACCGCTAAGGCTCTTGCAGTGGACCCATAGTCGGAGTGTAGCAGCCTGTTTACATGATTCTGTGCCAGTAATAATATCAATACTTTGTGGAATGCTCGCGGCCCTTCAGCTAGCTGATGAAAGTATTTCCACCGTAGATTCTAGCATCGTCCTTCTTTCAAATAAAGGGGATCCATCAATTTTCTCATATTTTCATGGCCAATAATTGCACCGAGCAACAAAGCACGGGTTGATTATAACTTTCAATTCAAGCACAACAGATTTTCATTTAACCACGAGATTATTTCATACTGATGGTGAATAGGAGAAGTACGACATACCTTGGACATCAAGTGAAAAATGTATAACTAACTAGCTGAAAAGTGAATCCAGTACTTTAGAAAAAGAGTTTTTAAAACAGAAATGCGAAATCACGCGGCAAATCATGCAACCCCTTTCAACTCTCTACATATATTGCACCGTTTAAGGCCTATTCCACCCGTTCAAGGACTTGCCGGTAACATTGAATAGGACATAACGGTAGGCGTAATACGACCACAACTCATTTGCATGGCAAGCTGAGCGGATACATAAATATAAGTGTGAGAGCCTAGTTCATCGAGGCTGTGATCATTTCATCCTCTACGAATCAAGTTGTCAATTGATCCTAACTGGAGTATGTAGAAACTTATCTGAATCATCCTTGACAAGCTAACATTTAAAGACAGTCAGTCCGAACGAACGAAGCCCTTTCAAATTCATAGCAGCCGTCCACGAGAGCCACACAAGGTAATTCATTAGGGGTGGGCACAATAAAACAGAAGAAAGCACAAAAAAAGGCGACTCGGAGCAGGAATCGGAAATCCTGATAGGAAAGCTAGTTTGTTCCGGCGTGGGAGAAGGGCAGATACCGGTCCCAGGAAGCGAAGAGTAGGTAGGGCACGAAAGAAGTATGGAACCCCAGACGCGTCCTAGCAACGCAGATAACACTCCCCTCAAAGAGGGAGCGCTATCCTAGCCATAGCAGGATCGAGCGGTATCAGCGTAGCTACGATACGCCAATGCGATATGAAGTCCAAACGTCGGTATAACATGAACGAACATCTTGCATAGATAACTGATGTGGTTGGACAGAGTAGGAAGATACATCAGTTTGCATTAATCACTCCTGGACATTCTAATATACATACTTTATGGTAAGAAAGATAAAAGTTGACTACAACTACAGGTATTTCAAGTCAAATTCTATAGTCTCGTGTCGGAAATTTCCCGGTAGAAACAGAATCCTTTTTCCGACGATACGTAACGTTAATGGAATAACGGTCATCCTCCGCATGCATGGTTATGGCTATAGGTTTTCCAAGTCAAATACGGAAATAAAGTCAAATGCAAGAAGGGATTTCAAATGCGTCGCTGTTCTGGAGTGAAACATCAAAAGCGACACAAGGGAAATCAAATGCATTGCTGGGCAGGATGTTGAACTTCGAAGAGAACCATGTTAGACATATGGAAAGTCAAATGCAACAGTCGTAAATCGTCGGTATATCTCACGCCCGTGCCACACTGCGCACGACTCCAAATGCAAGTGCATTCATGCATATCCACGGATGAATTTGAATAAGACATAACTATTGGAAATTAATCTTATCGGCAACCTTTGGTGCCAGACCACGAAGAATGGAAGTCATTGATGGCAAGTGTTGATTTACAAAGTTCAGTAAAGAAGCACGAGAGTCATAATGCCATATGGAAATTCAAATTAGTCATTCAAATTCAGGGCAAGAATCACATCATTTCAATTTTGAAGCTATAACTTCACCATGCTGACCAACTCCTCCTCTATTTACTGAAGGAATTGTATAGGAGAATATGTGATGCTCATAGTTGAAACTCCATGAAAGATTGGAGTTCAGGGCTTGAGTCTTTATTTTTTTCCTGAAAATATGAATATAAGCTAATATTGTTATTGCCAGGGGAATAATAAAGACTTTATTCTATTCCATTTCTAATTAAAGAGCAGTAGAGAATGACAGAAAAGGAATGAAGACAAAGAGGCACTCACCATATTATCCAAGATTCAAAGCCCTGACTATTCATAATTGTATTATGGAGGTTTAACTTCAGGTTTGACCATCATATAAGCTTCCAATGCTGACAGGTGACTCCCTAGTTCACTGGCAAACTGAAAGTCAACTTGCTGAAAGAAATCACAAAGCAAGGATGAATGTGCATGAGAAAGTAAATGAGCCACATTGGAGATAGAGGGCCCACAGAAAGAAAGCAGGAAATAAATGCTGTAAATATATGCCTATAAACTTGCATTGGTTGCTCCCTCAGAGCTCAACAATCTAATAACGTGATTAATTCATTTTGAAACATCCATATTTTACACATGTCTACCAATGTGGTAAAATTCCTTGGGTTTAGGTATTTTTGATTGTGAGTTCAAGTTACTTCTGGTAGTGTGAAGCCATTGACATCACACAACTCACTCACATCTCACTTGAGTCAATTTTTCACTTGACTCAGACCCCTAAGCATGAGTAACATCCCATACACAACTGTCTAAGTCAAGTGAATAACACTGTAGATTACCATTGCACAGGGGCTTTTTAATGCTAGCATTAAGCAGTAGCAACACCATCTTCAAGTTTGAGTGCAAATGAATGGTGACAATTATAAATGCAAGTTTTGATATGGCTGCAAAGGAGGCTTTGACAGTTCAACATGGATAAAAATCAACATGTGAGTTGCAAATTTTGTCCTTCAACTGACATGTAGCAGTGTATGCTTGCAATGTTGTATCAACTGCTAAAAATATGCAGTACCTTTTTTGTGGCAATCACTGTTTATATGGCAGTGATTGTCTATAAAGTACCAGTGTACCACTGTGCTGAATACAGATAACATCAGCAAGTGACATAGTTCCAGCATTGCAAGAATACTTGCCCCCACACTGCTGGAGAAGTGCAGGAGAGTATAGCTGTTATTGGTGCTGAAACACTACCACATCCTGCTTATTCTCTTGACCTGCCCCTTCCTTGAGTTTGGTCCTTCACCAACCTGAGGAGCAAAATTTAAAGGATACCAATTCTGCAAAAACATTAACATTGCTAAAAACAACTGCGATGATTTCAATACATGCTGAAAAATAGTATGCCAGACACATATGCATCAGTATGCCTACCCAGACATGTGAGAAAAGGCTGCAATTAATTCAGTCTCAATATTTAAAAGACAACCCCAATAGATAAGAAACTGCATCATGAAAAATGCCAGTCAGTTCTCAGACACATCATGAAAGCAGATGCCCGAGTGAGAAATAAATAGTTGCTCAATACCATGCATTCTAACAGAAAATAACTCAGTTAATACTTTGAGTGCTGTGGTGGAATAAGAATGCCTGCATTCTGAGTGTAAATGTGAGTGAAATGCAAAGAAAAAACTTCCTTTCTATTTATCTGGATGTTGGGTACCACAAAGCCTAGCCTGGACACTAAAAATGCCACAGGTCTCAAATCTGGCTCATATCGATGTCTTAGGCTACATCCAGGCTACCTATTAGTCTCACTCTTAAGCTTACACGCTGTACCTAACCTTCAGATCCACATGCCTACGCCTACGAGTGGAACGCTTCACCGCTGCCAGCATCGCACAAGGAATGAAATACGCACTCATAATCCACTGAGAAACATTACACCTCCATTTTTTTTGCCATTGTAGCATTCCGCATTCCAAAAGGGCCTGCCCCGGCAAAGCCACGTGAACTCCCTTCCACATGGGCTCCAGAATGTACAGGCATGAAAATGGCCTCCTTCATTGACCATGCGGCTCGCTATCTGTTCACTAGTGATTTTCGATAGACTGCATCCCCCCTCCTTGGTGAAAGCGGTTATGATTTAATTTCCACGTCAGTTACTGATTTAGCCAGGAACAGTTACATTGAGACAAGAGATATCTCTCCTTTGGATGACACGTAGCGCCGTTCAGAAGGAGATGCAATCAATCTACAGTATAATCGCAATAGTAGCTGTTGTAGGCTGGGCCTACATAGGGGATACATATGGATATTCCTAGTCATATTCTAACTAGGCCAGACCTTCACATATTTATAGGCCTCTTTTCCATGCCACTCCCTTAATACACTACTTTTGGATTAAATTAGTGGGAATTGGGTGTGTTCTGCAACTCATTGCCCGATAGCTTCTCCAACTCAATCTACTCAACAAGTTTGAGAGAGTAGGCAGTCATGGAATTGCATATGCCTGGTTTCATTCATGCATTCAAACTCATGAAGTAAATGTTCACCCATAGCCAACTACACTAGTGGTCAAAATTGTAGAAACACTTGAGAAAAGGCAAATTATCTGCATAAGATAAATATTATTTGGATCTCATTACAAAATCAATTCAATTGCAGTCACTGACAATGAAGTAGTAGTGTGATGAGTATGGCATTGAGAGGCAAGACTGAATGTCCTGGGTTCGGTGGTGTAATGGTTGCACGCTTGACTGGCAATCAGGAGGCCTGGGTTCAATTCCCAGCCCTTCCTAGGCTTTCTTTCATCCTCTCTCACCATCCAGCCTACCTTACCTTCAGTTCTGCAATGAAGGAAAGTTGCTACCTGGATGGAGGTCTTTGAGAGCCCCATCAGATTTCAAAGGGAGTTTCAGCAATATCTTGGAAGCTGAACCTCATGCCAAATGTATTGATATAGGTGGAAGGCATTTTGAGGTACTTTCAAAACCCAGAAATACCTCCATTTTTGACAATAATAATTCAGTTCTATACTTCAATGCTATAGTGCAATACTTTTTTTTGTGCCTACTTTATAGATGTGGATTTATGAAATGGTATAGTGACTTATGGGACACCCTGTATAGTTGATTGAATCTATGAATCTGCTACATGGTACTAAAAATGGGCTAGTAAATAAGGTCTTTACTTATCATAATTGCTACTTCAGCCTTTTTTTTTGCACTTTCTGTTCATTCTATTTTTTAAAAAAAGTTCTTATTTCCTCTCATTGAAAATGCTATGGTGTGCATTTAAAAAAACTTCCTATTCCAGGTATAATCAGAGCATCTTTCATCTGATTGCTTGTAGTCAGCTCTAAGAATTCGACCAGAATGTCAAAGGTGAAACTTGAAAGCAATGCCTTTAAAGCCATTTTGTAGACTGTAGACTATGCCTATTAAATATTATATTTTGTTTTCAGACTCATATTTTCAATGTTGAGATGACCTGTGAAGGATGCTCTGGAGCTGTCAAACGAGTACTTGGCAAGCTAGGTAAGCATTAGTCAACAGTGAATCAATGTTTAGTGTAAATTTTTGGTCTCTTTCATTCCTGTTTGATCCTTACAGGGGATTCTGTGGAAAATGTGGACATTGACATGGAAAAGAAAAAAGTTTATGTAAAATCAGGACTAAGCTCTGATGAGTTGCTCAGTGTCATCAAGAAAACAGGTAAGAATACAATCTATGAAGGTGTCAAAGAGAACTTGTGACTTGTAACAGGAAGAAGAGGCATTCTATCCTCTCATCATCACTCACTGGCAGAATTGGTGGCACTTTGACTATACAATCTCCAACTTATGGTCTCAGGCATCAAATAACTTGGTTCAGTATGCCAATTTTGCTTCACTATTGTGATTTTTTGGGGGCAATGTGTTTGACTATTCTTTAAGAATGTCAATTTACAAAGTTGTATTATTCTTTTATGCTTTTGAGTATATACATATATGAATATATGATTATTTCCAACTGTGACAGCCCTGTTTACTTTCACATACCACTGGTGATCCATATCAAGTAAATGACATACACAGAAGGGAAATATGCATTCCTGGACATTAGATACTTGAGATAAATGTGGCTTTTAGTCCTTCAAAAAGGTTTAATATGGTAATTATTATCAGGGTTGGATAATTCAAATCTACTTTCCCACATTTGGGTCCTTGGATTCTACTTCAAATGGTGTTATTTAAGGCAGCACTGAAACTCTGCACTCCATATGCACTTTTTATCAATATTAAGATACATGATATATCACAATTAAAATTTTTTTAAATAGCCATTTCCGTGCTGTTGACATACCACACCATACAAAACCATTTGCTGGCAGATTAAGAGGCAGGAACATATACTTGCTTTCATTATCTTGGATTATGTGCATTCCTCTACCAATCAAAGGGTTAAGGAGATTAAGTATCTCCCTGCATCCATCTTTCACTACCTGGCTTTTCCTTGTTTTTATACATTTTGCTTATATGACCTCATATAATATTGCCATTTTTTCTTTTCTGTACTATGTATCCCTCCATTTGGAAATTCTGATTTTTTTTTTCAAGTAGGCACCATGGTTCCTCAGCAAATCTTTGCAAACAAACTTCACTTACTTATTGTAAACACACACAGTTCAAATATTATATATTATTGTCATCACAACTGTTGCTTCTGGACAGCTACTATTATCATCATTAATAATCCTTGTTTATGAGACTGGGAAGGATCAGGAGAACCTCACTGGGAAAATTGTGGGACTAAGGCCTGAATGTTGAAACATCCCTTAGCTAGCAGTCCTTTAACCCTTCACTGTCACATTAGACTAAAGTCAAACTGTGCCTCATACCCTTTGATTGCGATGTTCAACTATAGTCTTCATCCGTAAATTTTTTTGTCCACTCACTAGGACACTGACTGGGCACTGACTTCAGTCCCTTGATCGATAGTGTGCAAAATTTAGTCTGCTAGTATACTTGATACATACTGACATCAGTTAAAAAGTTCTGGAGTTTTATTCAATGGCAAAAATTAAATATGCAGCAAAAAAGTTAAAAATCCATGGGAGATTCTGAATGGAATTATCCTTTTCTTTTTCCCTATACAGGGGGATAATGGAGCTCCTTGGCTTAAAGGCTCCTTTATCTCACCTAAATAAGGTTTCTCCTTTTGGGCCAACATCTTTTGATAGCATTAATGTGAGCAAAGGGAGCCACCAGGGAGCCAAGTCAGAAGGTCACAGAAACTGGCAGGGACATGAACAAGATGAATCCAATACCCACCCAATTACAAGGAAGAAGATGCCAAGAAAAGAGCAGTGAAATAGAGAAGTAAAATAATTTAAAAAAAAAGGATAATTTCAATCCCATTTCACCCCAAAGAAAAAAAACTGTTCATTTACCAACTCTGATTCTTCTGACTTTGGCAGAAATCATTCAAAATGCATAATTCAGAAGCAAATCGTAGGACCCCTGTTCAAGTGAAAAGCACTAGAATTTAAAATGCCAGATTAGGCAAAGCAATGGCTACATCTTATTTTCATGATTTTGTGATTTTTGAAGTACAATTCCCCCAGTCAGCCTCAGTCTACTTTACCATATACAGTAGAACCTCAATTCTCTGTGCTAATGACAGGGAGAATGGTGCTGGGTAATCAGAATTCACGGTCAACTGAAAAAGGCACTTAATGCATAGTACACATATAATTATCATCAAGCAACATTAAAAAGACAATAGAAATACATTTACTGAAAAGGTAATGCATAATGAATGTAAATGTACAAAGCAAACTGGTTCAGTACTGTTGAAAAGATTGTTCTGTTCCCTAGTTCAGTTCTGCACATGTTTGAGAAAAAAACACAACTGCCAAATTTTATTTTAGACAAATGGTTAAGCAATTCACAGTTGATCAGGTCATGGATAATCAAGGCTCTACTGTATTGCCATTCTAGGGAGTGGTGGCAAGCTTAGTATCAATTATGTAAAAATTAATGTGATTTCTCTAAGCATATATTTAAAATGGCTGGTAAAAAGCATTGATTTTATAGTAAAAATTAGGTCATTTTCTGAGAGGCTATTCAGGTACAGAGAGTATGACTTTTCCCCATTGGATGAATTGAGATAGAATTACAATCCTTACTTAATTTCTTTTACTCATTTTTACCAATCCTAGATTTAGTATTTGTTTTAGTCCTGTCCTCTGCTCCCAAAATTTAGTCTTACCAGGATTAGTTTTCACTTGGGCAACTCTAATATTTAAATTAGTCCTTGAAACTTCTGCAACATTTTTATTTTTTGTCTTCACATATTCATTGCATATGAATTTCAGCCCTATGAAACCATGCTGCCTCTGAGATTAAATACATTGATTCTGAAATATATATTTACTGAAAATGAGAAAAGTCATTCTAATTCCATTCATACACTCTCTTTAACTCTAAGGAAATTTTAGAGCTTCATTTTCCAATTGGGAATCAGAGTTCTGACTTTATTAATGAAAATACTTCCATTGAAGTTTTGTGCTGAGTTATAGTAATATGTATCATGCCTATAATCATTTTTTCACTTTTTTGTTACATTTTCATCTTCGTGCATATTCCCAATTCAAAAAACGAATGCTGAAGGGTTTTAGTTTTCACAAATAATTATTTATTCAGATCATATAAAAGTACAATAATTTCATTCTGATGATTTCACTATGAAATTATAATCATGCCTTTGTGATGGTAAAAGTAAGAGAAAAAAACACAAAAACAGAATGATCACATGCTCAAAAATTACCTTGACTTGCACATCATTCTTGTCTGGAGTTCACATTGGAGTCAATAAATTTTTCAAAGGGCTGACGATGAGCAGCAGTCAAGAATGATGTCAGACCTGGAGAGAATGCAGAAAAACATAATGCCTCATGCAGGGTTCTGTCTGCACCATTCTATAGAAATACTTCAGACCACAAGCAAGAGACAAAATACATACCATAAAAAAGTCGACCCTTTGTAGAGTCTTGAGATACTAGAGGTTTGAGGACTGACATCAATTCATTGAGCTTCTTACTTTGTTGATACATCTTAAGTGCCATGGAAAATGCTTTGTACTCTTGCTCAAGTAATGTCTTCCTTGCCTGTAAAAAAGAAAATGGGCTTTGTCCTGTTATCTTTAACTTTTAAAGTCTTCACAAAAATTCTGTAACATAAGATGACAGACTCAGTACTACTTAAAGGCCCAATCAGAAACACAGTGCTTCTGAATTGACTTTTACCCTGTCTACAAGTGCACCATACATTTCTATGGGCTCTTCCATCATATTGTGAATAAACAGTTCCCTTGCTCAAGAAGGGATATTGTTCCATGTGCTTGACCCTTCAGTATACTTCTTTACAATTAATTGCTGTAATTATTAGGCATCTCTCCAGCACCATGGACAACAACCACAGAAGGGGTCCAGGAGGTTAAAAATCAATCAAAAGTACTGTAGTCTCTCCCTTAAGAAATCCTAAAGAATATCAAGAAGGCATAAACAATGCTCCCACCTGGGACAAGAAATTTTTACTGGCTTCCATTTTGTCTGGCTCCTTGACATGATTCTCCATCTTCAGCAAAGGCTTCTCAGCTGGTGCATTTGGAATCATCTTTATCTTTCTCCGTTTTGGAGGTTGAGCTACTGAATTCAAGTGTGTGCTGACTGTGGTACTTGCAACAGGAACAGTATCAGAGCCCTGTGGATCACCCAAGAAGCCAACCAGACTTGTTGGTTTTGCCTCTATCAGGCCCTCAAAGAGGTCTTTATATTCTCCAGACTTTCCTTCTTGTGACTCTTCCCTAAAATGAAACACAAATCATTACAACAGATTCTGCTAAGCTATGAGAATCTCAAAGAGAACTTTGAAACATCATATTAAATATGAATTAGAAATGCTTTACTCCAAAATCCTCATCTACACTAAAATGGTGAACAAGTTCTTAAGAAAATTAATGAAAAGCAATTTAGCGAACTGATTTCTCACCTGTAATATTGTTTCATGCAGTTGGTGTCTTTTTCTTCATTCAGCTTGGATGTAGACGACTTCTTTCGTCTTTCATGGATGGTCACAGAACCTGATTGTGGCTCCAACTTTTGGATTCTTGATGAGGATATCTACAAGGATGACAGGAAAATATTCCATTTTCATCATGATTACTTCAGCAATAAATTAATGCCAGCAAAAGTTTGAAAGATGTAAATTTCATGCCAAGGGCTCAGGAAGGGGGAAAAAAAAAACTGGGAAGAGGAGAAAAAGTATCATGAATGACACCTTATTCAACTCAATTATAATATCTTCACCTCTATGGCACATTTTCCTCTTTTTCTTTCTTTGGTGAAAGTTCAATAAATTGAATTAATCTATATACTAATGCAAGCTATCTATGGAATAGGCTTAACTTATAAGCTAATAATTTTTCTGTAAGCAACCCATAATATGGGGATAGTTTTTTTCCCTGAAATTTAACTGTGTGGCAAATGAAAACAGAAAAAAATCATTACTATATTATTCCTGATCCTTTTTGCCTGAAATTTTAAAGAAATGACTAATGCACAAGGCTGTGAGTACATACTTGGCAAACTAGCTTCAGGGGTTAATAATACATTCTTACATTCACTTTTAGGAAGTCAATTGATAATAGAGAAATAAGCACCCCAACTGTCCAAAGCTGGACTGATGCTCTAGGAAAAGTGTTCAAGATTGAGGCTAAGTGAAGGTGTGAGAAAGTTGATTGAAGTATGCAATACATTGAATAGTGAACTGACTCAAGATTTCTGGCAACAGATATCTATGTGCTCAAGATTGACTGTTTGCTATTGCAATTTAACCTTTTGGGGTCCAAGTATTTTGAATATTTTGACACTGTCACTCAGAGTCATTTCCATACCTTGGCACTAGACTCATGCCAACATGAGATAACTCAGGTGTGGATACTAAAAGGTTAAAAGTAATATTTGCTTCCCATGATCATCCAGCCAGATATGGAGGTGAATGATGTAGACGGAGTGTGAGGAATCTCCATACCAAAATTAGACAAAGACAAGGAACATCTGAGACCAATTTGGATCAATCATTGGTGATGAGCTACTTCTGATCAATGAATGCCATCTCACATTGGTGATGGGGTATACAACCCATTAAGGAAGGGGACAGTCAACTTTGTTTCTTTGGGATGGATGGAAAATGGCACTCATCTTTAAGGCCTGGAGGGTTACACGCACATGGCCAGTAGGGAGAATCAAAATAGCCCAAGTACTGAGGTATGCCATTTTGTCCTAACTTTCTTGTAAATTTATGTACCCCCTCCATCTTCCCACCAATGCAGCTCATATGGACAAGGATTATCAGAAATAGCAATCAACAATGCCTCCTGCCTCAATTAGTAAAAGGCATGGTCTTCAATGCCACAATTGCCTGGTAGATACTCTCACCTCAGCTGAATTGATAGTCTGCTGAGGCCCAAGACCATCCTCTACCAATTTATTTAATGTGATTTCCCTCTTAACAGGGTACCTAACTGGTGTCTGTCTAATTCAAATACATGGCTTGAGAAATTCACACAAAAAAGTCAAAGATTTTGATAGAATAAAATACCTGATATACATCAGGGGGCTACTCAGTCTCCCTTCACTCCTCTGAAAATACCAGATCCCAATGGCATTTCTTTCAAAGTTTCCCTTCTCATTCTTACAATGTGCACACAGCTTGAACAATACTTTTATGCAAGGATGATAGTTATTACAAATGGTAAACTTTTACAGCTCACCCCTATGGAGTTGATAACTATTCAAGCAAAAGCACAAATAAACATGAATTTCTTCATTATAAGTTTTCCCATGTTTCCTCAACTTGAAGAGTCTGCAACCCTTCCTAAGGTGTGATGATGCTTTAAAAATGCATATATTTTACCAAGTACCTTTTAGGTGCATTTAAAGTTCTAATTGTTCAAATGGACCTTAAACTCCTCACATAGTGCCTTTCACACATGGACTTGTACTGAAATATTCCAGATAGTCAGTATTACCTGACAGAACAATTCTCAAAGGATGTAAGTATCACATATATAGTTAATCTAGAATAAGAGCCATGTGATTCCGCAACCTTGTGAGCAGCACTGAAGAACTGAGCAATTGATCGAAGTCCTTTGCCAAATTCACTATGGACTGCCAATCGTGGCCGTATCCATGAAGAAAGTCTGCTCTTGAAGTTGGAATCTTGAAAGCGAGCATCACAAAGGAGGATAGCACCATAATCATCCCGATGCCTGATCACCCTCCCTATGGCCTGGTTTACAGCACGACTTGCTTCCAGTCGATACCACTCCCCACCTGTCAGGCTCTGGGAGCATACACATGAAGGGAAACAGCAAAATACTGGGTATTTTTTTCTTTAAATAAAGTCATTCAAATTATTACTCAAGGGGAAAATAGGGAGCCATTACCTGTCCATTGGTGCGTGACTCATCCAGGAAGCTCTTCTTGAGAACAACTCGAGGGTCCATCATTGGAGGGTAAGGAAGACCTGTTATGACAACTGTTCTGCCCAAATCATCAGCAAAGTCAAGTCCTTCTGATACCTAAATGAGTTATCAGAAAGAATCATAACAAAATGAGTTCACCAGATGAAGGAAAAACAGACTCAGAGCCATCTTTTGACTATGCATAAAGACCACCTGACCTTGCCTCGACAAACTGCAAGGAACAAAGCACCTTTTCCTGCAGTGTCTCGAGCCAATCGACTGAATTCTTGCATGGTTTCTATCAATCCATCCTTTCCAACCGGTTCAACAAAGATAGGCTAGAAAGAAAACAGAAAAACCTTGCAACCTCCATCTTGAACAAGATTCCCATCACAAGATGCTTGTACCAGTGCAATACCTTGATTTTTTGAAGAGATGACCAGGTACCTTTGTCTTGCCAAGCCTCCATGGAGGACTTCAGGGCTGCATATGAGGGAAAGAAAACCAGCATACCCCCTGGGGACACTCGGGCCACATTCAGGATTGTTTGTCCTAGGGATCCAACATAAGCTGGGTTTTTCCTGAGAAGAATGAACCTTCATATTTATGGATGACATGGAATGGTAGAGATGAGACCAAGAATCTGATTCTCACCTATTCTCATAAGATGATGAAAGAAGTGTGCCATCAGGTCCTTTGGGGATAATACCAGCAAACACCTGATTCTCACCCACTATGTGTGGATTCTCCAGGGTGACAGAGAAGGGGACTTTGAGCTGGGCTTGGAGTGTATCAAGTGGGGCAAGAGTTCCTGATGTCATGATTAAACTATGGACCCCAAGTGAAGATAGCCTTTCCAAACTGCCAAATCAATAATAAAATTCTATCATGAAATTGCCAGAGGATAGTCACCACCATCTGTACACTACAGTTCTCTCAAATGAGAAAGAGAGAGATGCCTAAACCTAGTTATCACGAAGGTGATCTTCATGTGATGATGAGTCTGTTACATAAAGAACAAATTAAATGGCTGTGTTCACAACTCCCTTGTCCCCTAAAGCATGCAGGGAGGTGCAGGCAATACAAATTCCCTAGTGTCTGGTGACAGACAGTTCACTGATATTGAATGCTACTACCTGTAGCACTATTTATCAACATAATACTGTATATGTCTGCCCATCATACTAAGCATGACTATCTTCATGAGAAGCATCATCCCTGCTGGAGAGTTTTCAAATATTGACATTAAAAACCTTTGCATATGGAATATGCATTCCAAAACAACCAGTTGTAAGTCTACAAGAAAACTTTTCTTCCCCTGTAGAAGACAATACTATAGTCTGAATGACAAGAAAAAAATGACAAGGCCAATCCCTTGAAACAGGTCAAAGCATGAAAAGAAAGAACTCAATCAAAATCATACCCTGCCACCATTCTTAACTGTGGGAATAATTACATCTGCAAATACCAAAACAATAAGTAGACAATCAGTGCCAGTAGAGATATTGAGTTATAATTGTTTCTAATAGGATAATGACTGGAAAAAGCAATAGGTCAAGCAGGATTCAATGTAGATAATTTGTTGACCCTTTCCACTCATTTGTCAAGCCAGGCTCACCATCAGTGAGAGCATTGTGGGAAAACCGAGTGGAAATGGTTAAGTTGGCTACCCAGTGTTGAACCATCTATGCAGGGAAAAAGAGATACAAGTACTGAACAAAGGGGGGAAGGTAGTCAGTTGATGGCAAAGGCATGTTGGCTAAAAATACTTGCTTGCCTTGTAGGGAACCTGGGGTTCAAAAGTATTTACACTTGTATGAAATGTCAATACTCCAAACAAAAGAAAGAAGACACACCCTATGCCAGGGTTGAAGCACCAGAAGTGAATAGACTTGCAAATTTTCTTCTTTTGCCACAGTTTGCCTCCAATTTCCTCCTCTTGCACAAAGACCTACAAAGTCTATAACATCACTACTCTGAAACAATATAATAAAAGAATGGTAGAATTGGTAGCTAACCTTGAATGCCTTCAAAGATGCAGCCTTCATGTCATTCCCAGCATATACTACCTGCAGGAAATTGGATAGACGCTGAAGGCCTCCTTCTAATCTACGGGTTCCAGTCATGGTGGCATTTGCCAAGTAAGTGAGCATTTTCTCAATGAGATCCAATATGACATGTGACCCCTGGGCTGTGATCTCTGCTTCTTTCAATCTGTTCAGTAGGAAGTCAGCACCATAGCTTCCTGGAAAGACGGATACATGTCAATACATTCATGAGAACTTGGTCTCAGGAGTAGCATGAGAGAAGCAAAACATCTGACTCTCCACTGGCTTGTCTGAATCACCATAAGTGGACAAGCCATAAAACACAAGTCTGTTGGTATGATAGGCTGGTCACTTGATAATAAAAGGTATATAAATGCTCTTTTAACCCATTAAATATTCCAGCTTTTTTTATTTCTTTACACAACCCTGTGCTAGGTATTTTTTTTTTCAGTGTTATAGTTTCTGAAACTTGCAAAAAATATAAATTCCTTCACTTACCTTATAATGTAATAAGAACTGGACTGGTTCCAGTTGTCATGGAAAATCTCTTCCACAAGCAGTTAGTAACTCCTGAAATCATTAAGGTATTAAGGTTGGATAGTGGTATCAAGAGGTGATAATGTCCATTGGATACCATGTCAAGGATGAGCATACCTTAATTTTTGGATAGGCCCACTCCTCTTAAAGCTAAATATTTATTTCTATATATTTTATTTTTCTAAGCATATCCAAATCGCTTACTGCCAAGTCCCTTTCATCTACATCATTCCCCTTTTTGCTTTGTCCATAAAAGCATCTAGTCTCTTAAAAATAGTCACAGAAGGGACAGCCACTACACCGTCATCTAATGCATTCCACTTGTTCACCACCACCCTACAAGCAATGAAGTCCTATCTCAACCTGAGCCTGTGGTGTGCACAACTTAAGTTGATTACCTCTTGTTCTCTTACTGCCATTGAACTGGAAGAACCTACCACACTCTACATTATCTATTCGTTTAATGATCTTGGGATGAGATTGTCTCTCCTTAATTTTTTCTCGAGCAAGTACAGTCCCAACACTTCTAAACACTTCTTGTACAAAAGCCCCATAACCTCCTTCACTAAATAATGTGTAGCTAATATGTTAACTAATATATAGCAGTTGAAGGGTTAAAAATCCTTCTTGGATTGTCATACAGAGGGAAAGCCTGGCTGAACAACTCCAACACTTCTGGACCTGCTATGTTGTTCAGTGCATCATGTTAAAGCACTAAGACCTGTGGACACACTAATGGCTTTCTCCAGCCATGCTTGTTTCAGGCTGTCATTCATCCCAGCACAAGATTTTGATCTGTGTCTGTTTCTCCATCTTTGAGGTATTACTAGGGATGGGGCGGTCAATTGACCGCATCAATTGACCACCTTTTAATTGACCATTATTGACTACTAATTTTTTTAATTCAGTGAATTCAGATATTTTTATAGAGCTCATAACTATGGTCATTTATCCCCCAGCACTAAAACCAAAGAGCCAG